TCTCTGAACTTTGTCAATCCGCTGCCGGATGAAGGTCTCAATCACGCCGTGCGTTTAATCACAAATCACTCGACACTCACTGATGGTGGCCGTGGCCGAGTATAGAACTCAGGTTGTTGCGTTCATAGCACAGAGCGCTTAACCACTGCGCCCCAGATGAACACCATTCCGCGTTGCGCCGCCGAGGTCGTCCGTCGGGGTTAGTGTTCTCCTCCTTGACGCCGCCTGCGGTTCTCCACGTAGCGGCCGTTCCGCGCACGTGCGCTCAATGACGGTTCGGGTGATGGCCCCTTTCCATGGCATTAACATCGAGAGGACAGAAAGAGAGAGTGCATGGTCGTTTTCAATAGCAGCCACAAACACGCACGCACGTTCGTGAAAGCACGCGCACACCGTGAATGCGTACGACTGTTGCACGCTGGAATGGAGCCTGTAGCCTAATCAGAGCTCTGAAAACTCAGAAGCTAAGCTGGGTTGCGCTTGGATAGCGCTTGGATGGCGCTTGGATGTGTGACAACCGTGCATGAGACAGGTGTTGTGGGCTACTGCTGGTGTGGTGGCGGCGAGGCTACGTTGTCAGCAGAGGGCAGTGGATATGTTTTTGTTTCTCTCCCTCCCCGTGTCTCTGAGCTCTCCCGTGTCACCACGCTCACTCAGTGTCTCCCCGTTTCTCAGTGTTCTTCCCGTGCCTCTCAGTGTCTCTGTACTATCTGCGTGCCTCCGCGTTCTCTCAGTGTTTCCCCGTGTCTCCGTGCTCTCTACGTGTCTCTTCGTGTCCCTGTGCCTTCCCCGTGACTCCGCGATCTCCCCGTGCTCTCGCCGTGTCTCCGCGCTATACCCGTGTCCCCCCGTGTCTCCGCGCTATACCCGTGTCCCCCCGTGTCTCCGCGCTATACCCGTGTCCCCCCGTGTCTCCGCGCTATACCAGTGTCCCCCCGTGTCTCCGCGCTATACCCGTGTCCCCCCGTGTCTCCGCACTCTCTACGTGTCTCTTCGTGTCCCTGTGCTCTCGCCGTGTCTCCGCGCTATACCCGTGTCCCCCCGTGTCTCCGCGCTATACCCGTGTCCCCCCGTGTCTCCGCACTCTCTCCGTGTCTCCGCGCCCCCTCCATGCGTGGGTGACTTTCCGAGCCTGTGTCGGGCAAAAGCACGCACGCGGCCACCGCAAGTCTGAGTCGACAAGAAGCGATTTCTCGCCGAAAACCCTTCCGTCAATACATCCGATTGGCAATTGTGCGACACAAAGGAACGAGATCGGGGTTTTAATATCGGTGGTCATCAGCACGCCCTAATTGGCTGCGCGATTATTGACTCGGCGCGTGAAGAAGAGGCCGCCGCCATCCACCGTGCCGAGGCAGCGCGAATACCTCTACCCGGCTCGCCACTCGGCCCACGCGGACTCCCTCGCGTCTTTCTCTTCGCGTCAACAACTCGAACGTGTTAAGAACATCGATTTCCCGTACCCGTCACTTCTGGGATCGCGATGCTGCTCTTCACCGTCATCTGATAATCTCGCCCTGATCCGGAAGAACGCTGCCCGCGGACACTCAGAATAAACACCTCATTCGAGATCCAAACATTATCGTACCACCTCCTGGCTTTGAGATTCCTCCTCGTAGACCATCAGCCGCATCAGATTATCACCAGGTCCATGCGCAGCCATCTCCTTCATGAATGAAAAATTCAAGACAAGGTCCAACAGTGCAAGTGTGGCCATGCAAGCCACACTATGGACCGCACAGTAAACCCACTGTGGTTAGCGCTCCTTCAACGGAGAAAAATCAAAACGACACGAACTCTCTTTCTCTCTGCTGAAGACCTCTCGTCGGGACCAGAAAACATCGCATTCAGCTCATTAACATATTGCTGCTGTCATCGTGTGCAAGAACAGAAGAGTCAACCGAAGCACAGGCTTGCCGAGAGCAGCGCGGGAGTCGTGGCTATCCGGACTGTCCCCGACTCGCCACGGCCCAGGGACGCCCACAAAAACTGTGGAGAGAACTCCCGGTATAGAGAACTTACGAGTATAGAACTCCCGGTATTCGCGAGTCCCAACATAACAAAGGCGACGTCGATGCTAGAGCCATTCATGACACAGCAGGCTCCGTACCGAGTCAGCAGCTAGGAGATGCGCAGACTTCAAAATGATTTTCAAATAAATAACCTACTCCATATATCTGGCCCTTCACATCGAAAATTCAAAATTATATTTGCACATCCCATCAGCCACGCAGCCATCAACGCAAGCAAACTCTGGACGGGCTCCATCAGCAGTCAGGCTCGCTGGAATCAATGCTGCAGGTCAACATCCAGACGTTTATTATAGGCGAGGCCCCTCTCTATTAGATATGGGTCCTAGTTCTACGCAAACCTCTATAACTCATGACACTATGAACACTGGGATCCAGGCGCGGCGCGGCTGTGCCCTCTGGCTCGCAGACCGTAATCAATCTTGGGCACGGCTCGGCTCTGGAGCTCTGGAGTTCTGGCTCAATCGAGCCGGATCAAAGCCACGCGCTCAACTTGAGCCGACTCTAAGCACGCTCCCAGCCGCGCTCAGGATTTCCAAGAGCCGAGCCATGGCTGAGCCGCTCACTTTGGAAGAAGCGGCTGAGGCGTGGCTCCAGCCTGAGCTGCGCCGTGGGAGTGCGGCCCCGAGTGGTTGCACGGCGGGAGGCGCGGGGCCGGAGAGCGTCCGGCGCCACCTGGCGGGAGAGCGGCCGCATCGCCGCCTCCGCGTGGTCGTCACAGCAAAAGGTCTGGGCCAGACTGCTTGCCGCTCACGCAGTGAGCAACGAGGCACCCGGCGCTCAACTTCTGTTTTGTGCTCTGCGCCAGTGACGGAACATCTACATTGCTATGACAGGCATGAGTCTATCCGTAGGACAACAACCGCTGACCTCCCCGATTAGCGCAGTTGGCTACGTACGGTACGAAAGAGGTTCAACATATATACAGATCACGGGCTGAGCCAACCCACTCAACTAGGAGTTGAACTCGCAACTTTCCGATTGCGAGTTGCTCGCTCGACCGCTGAGCTCCCTGGCCGGGTTAATGAACACAAGCTCATCGTCATCATCACGATCCGTGGGGCAGATAGCACGTAGGTATCCACTGCACATTGTGAAATTTGTTTCCACTCTCCTCTGTCTTGTGCAAATATGCTCAAGCAGTGCTACATTTTTCTGGCACCAATCTCGTATGTCGTCAAACGCAACACATTCGTGAATAGTACTGCCCTGGAGAGAAGGGCATATGTAATAGTCGACGCTTCGGGCAACGGCCCTGCTTCTCAGATCGTTACCACGATCCAGAGATGGTTTTACGTGCGCCGCCGCATCCAGCGTTCGCTCGCAATGTCTCACTCGGGCCAACTGGCAAATGCAGTGAACCTCCACGCTGCAAGGCCAGGGCGTTGAGATGCGCATGGAAAGAGACCAAGACTCGACCCAATTCTGCGTCTTCTTGGCGGTGACGTCACCACGGCGCTTGTGCCAGGCCAGGTGCACTTTTAGGCCGCGTGAATGTCGAAGGTTCGCTGAAAAGAGGTCACGGGATAGACCCAGGTGCCACGTGTTGACTGAGGTGAATGGCAGATCCACCAGTGTTTTATCCGCCCGCGCTCCGCTCGTTGTTGTGAGCGTCGCTCCTCTGCCCTCCGTTATCGCTAGAGGGCGACTGCCTTCAACTGCCCAGTGGCAGCGTCCTTCACGAGCCTCCTCCACAGAGGCCGATCTTGACACCGCTGGTACACACACACCGGTGGAACCATCCACCGCATCAGAACATCAACAACGGGCCGATGCGCAAATCTTATCTCCGTAATGAATCGTAAATTAAAGAAACTCCAAGCCATAGGAGTGCGATTGTGACCATGCAACCAAAATTACTGACCACATAGTAAACCACTGTAGTCTGCGCTCCTTTAACGGAGGAGGAACAGCAAGACGATACGAACTCCTTAAGCCCTGTCGTCGTGACCAGCAGACCCTCGACATTGTAGTCTAACTCGTGAACGTATTGCTGCTGCCAACGTGGGCCACACCACGGTGACGAGATGTTAACTACCTCCCATGGTTTACAGGAGGTCGTGGGATCTATCCCGACCCTGACTGCTGTATATTTGGAGCCTGTTTGTTCTCCCCGTGGCCGCGTGAATTCTCTCCGGTTTTTCTCTCCACATTTCGAATCAACATCACGCGTTTAGAGTATTTGGCTGCTCAAAAAAAATCCGCATGATAAGCCACTCCGTTGAGCTATAATTTGTGATAGCCAGGCAGCTTCACAGAGCTCAGTGGGCCTCACCTGGTAAAATAAAAAGGTAATATGAACCTCGACAGAGAATGTCGCATGAGCAGCAAAGCGCGGGGAGCGGCGGTCGTGGTGGGGGAGGCACTCGGAGAGGACACGTTCAGTTGCAACCATCTCGAAACTCGCAACTAGATTTATTCTAACCAGTAAGGCCCACTGAGCGATATAGCTCTTTTTCAGAAGCGACCTGGCCACAACTTACAAATTATAGCTCAACGATGTGGCTCGTCATGTGGACATTTATAGCACCAACATAATCTAAATGCGGAGTAAAAAAAACCGGAAGACCCGGAGGAAAATCCACGCGGCCACTGGGGGAGAGACGTTGCAAACTCCAAATGTACAGCAGACGTCAGAGTCGGGGTCGAACCCAGCAGCTCTATGTATACCAGGCAAGGGATTGAACACCTCGCCACAGCTCATCTTCCTCCCATTGCACTGGGAGGAAGATGAGCTCCTTGATTATAGAACACACGCAGAGTAATGACATTCCAACTCAAAGCGGATGTATTGTATATATACAATACATATAATAGGCGACGTTTCGTGCAATGGCCCTATTTCATTGACACGTGATGTTCGTGGTGCGTGGCGTCATGTATCCATCAGCCAGCGGGGACGTCACGTTCCCGGCTGTTAGCGGTGACGTCACCGCGCCAGCTGTAAGAGTGACGTCAGTCGACCGGCTGCGATTGGTGACGTCGCCGGGCTAGCTGCAAACGTGACGTCATACTCCCAGCTGTGAGTGACGTTGACACGCCAACTGCAAGAGTGACGTCATGGTACCGGCTGCGAGGTATGACGTCACACGCTCGGTTACCATGACGACTCCGCGTCCCCCAGTCGCGTCCGCCCAGCGTTAAGGAGCGGCGACCGAGAAGACGTGGGAGACGTGAAGAGACGTGAGAGTGGCGTGAGGAGACGTGGGAGACGTGAGAGTGGCGTGAGGAGACGTGAGGAGACGTGAGAGTAGCGTGAGAGTGGCGTGAGAGTAGCGTGAGGAGACGTGAGAGTGGCGTGAGAGTGGCGTGAGGAGACGTGAGGAGACGTGAGAGTGGCGTGAGGAGACGTGAGAGTGGCGTGAGGAGACGTGAGAGTGGCGTGAGAGTGGCGTGAGGAGACGTGAGGAGACGTGAGAGTGGCGTGAGGAGACGTGAGGAGACGTGAGAGTGGCGTGAGGAGACGTGAGAGTGGCGTGAGGAGACGTGAGAGTGGCGTGAGGAGACGTGAGGAGACGTGAGAGTGGCGTGAGGAGACGTGAGAGTGGCGTGAGGAGACGTGAGGAGACGTGAGAGTGTCGTGAGGAGACGTGAGGAGACGTGAGGAGACGTGAGAGTAGCGTGAGAGTGGCGTGAGGAGACGTGAGAGTGGCGTGAGGAGACGTGAGGAGACGCGAGAGTGGCGTGAGGAGACGTGAGAGTGGCATGAGGAGACGTGAGAGTGGCTTGAGGAGACGTGGGAGACGTGAGGAGACGTGAGAGTGGCGTGAGAAGACGTGAGGAGACGTGAGAGTGGCGTGAGAGTAGCGTGAGAGTGGCGTGAGAAGACGTGAGGAGACGTGAGAGTGGCGTGAGAGCGGCGTGAGGAGACGTGGAAGACGTGAGGAGACGTGAGAGTGGCGTGAGAGTGGCGTGAGGAGACGTGAGGAGACGTGAGAGTGGCGTGAGAGTGGCGTAAGGAGACGTGAGAGTGGCGTGAGGAGACGTGAGAGTGGCGTGAGGAGACGTGGGAGACGTGAGGAGACGTGAGAGTGGCGTAAGGAGACGTGGGAGACGTGAGGAGACGTGAGAGTGGCGTGAGGAGACGTGAGAGTAGCGTGAGGAGACGTGAGGAGACGTGAGAGTGGCGTGAGGAGACGTGAGAGTGGCGTGAGAGTGGCGTGAGAAGACGTGAGGAGACGTGAGAGTGGCGTGAGGAGACGTGAGAGTGGCGTGAGGAGACGTGAGAGTGGCGTGAGGAGACGTGAGGAGACGTGAGAGTGGCGTGAGGAGACGTGAGGAGACGTGAGAGTGGCGTGAGGAGACGTGAGAGTGGCGTGAGAAGACGTGAGGAGACGTGAGAGTGGTGTGAGAGTGGCGTGAGAAGACGTGAGGAGACGTGAGAGTGGCGTGAGAAGACGTGAGGAGACGTGAGAGTGGCGTGAGGAGACGTGAGAGTGGCGTGAGGAGACGTGAGGAGACGTGAGAGTGGCGTGAGGAGACGTGAGAGTAGCGTAAGGAGACGTGAGAGTGGCGTGAGACGGAGTGAGAGGGTGGCGCCTCGTGGCGTGAGAGGAACTGCGAGCGGAGTCGGTGAGTGAATGAGAGGAGAGAGTGAGTGGAGTGAGTGAGTGACGGGCGAGGGTGAGGAGTGGGAGGTGAGTGTGAGTAGAGCGGTGAGGAGGAGGTGTCTGGTGGAGTGAGACGCTCCCTCCAGTCTATCATCGACGTATTCGACCAGGATATTTATCAGTTAAACACGTCGGCTTTTACGACCAATATTATTCATGATGAAGGTTTTTGGGTTAGATCGCGTAAGTATAAAGGTGTCGTAACCCTCCACAACATTTATCATTTAATCTCCAACACACCGGTGGGCTGAAGTAGTAACTAATTGGCGCGTTGTTTTCGTGACAAACCTCACTGGCTGTGTCGGGTGGTGGAGGGTTACGACACATTTCTACTTACGCGATCTAACCCAAAAACCGTTATCGTGAACAGGATATTTATCTCCACCGCCGTCACATCTGTCAGGAGATCTTCCAGGATTATCTATCGGATCCACCTGGAGAAGATCAGTGAGGCGCCCTCGAGCCGGGAGCCATGGGAGCCATGGTGAGCGCTGTCTCGACGCCTCCCCGGGGAGGGCCCTCGTGTGAAGAGCCGAGTGGCGACGCCGTCTGCAGTGAGACGAAATCGGCGTTCAGCGCTCCCGTGGTTACCACGGTGGCGAGATGTTAACTCCCTCGCCTGGTGTGCAGGAGGTCGTGGGTTCGATCCCGACCCTGACGCCTGCTGTATACTTGGTGTTTGCGTGTCTTTCTCCCCGTGGTCATGTGGCTTTTTCTCCGGATCCTGCGGTTTTTTCCCTCCACATTTAGAATCAACATCATGTTTTTAGAGTATTTGGACGCTATAAATTTGCACGTGATAAGCCGCTTTTTAGGGATATCATTTGTGGCCAAGTCACTTCTGAAAAATAGCTATATAGCTCAGTGGGCCTTACCTGGTAAAATGTAAATAGGTAGTTAATCTGCATTGTCCCAGCCTGTGTTGAATCTTCTGAGGACAGAGACGTTTCTCACGATCTGGGTTTGTCCATGAGAACTCAGTTTCAAACGTCTCCATGTCTTCTCCATGTTCACCTTGTCATCGACATTTTCATCTGTTTTCCCTTTCGCACCCTTTACTCACTCTGTTACACAATGAGCAACTTTATCAAATTCACTTCACAGATGTGGGGACATTTTAAGCCTTGGGCCGGGATAAATGAGTTGGTGAGCCGATTTTTACCAACAGTTCCTAATTAGGGACTATTGGTATAAATATGGTGGAGAAGTGACAGCACTTGCATTGTGTGTGTGTGTGGTGACTGTGCAGGGTAATGAAGAGTTAAGGCTGACGACTGAGGAAGAGCTGTTGTTGAGCGCGGCATTCGACGAAGATTTGCACATTAGCCTGTCGCGGTCTTACGAGTCGGACGTGGAGAATCTTCAAGAAAGGGAATACCAAGAGGAGCTCCTCCAGAGAATTAACTTCAACCAGCGGCAGCTCAACCACAAACGCATCGCGGGCTCGAGCCGGTCTCGCGAGTCAGTGAGCAGCACTGACTCGGGCAGCATTGCCCTCCCTCCGCTACCGCACATGGGGGACATGCACATCGACGACCCGGGGAGCAGGCGCGCAGTGCGTGGAGGGCACGGAGTTCGTGGGGGGCACGGGGCTCATGGTGGGGGGCACGGAGCTTGTGTAGATGTAAACGCGCTGCTCCAGAGGGATAGCTTGGATTATGCGTCTGATGAGGAGGAATCCACCATGGACACCGACGCAGAGGAGCAAGCCGTGGTGGGATTCGTGGACGGCGGCGCTGATGACATTTCAGAAGACGGCTTGGGATTTGAAAACGACTTCATCAGAGACGCCTCGACGCCCTTGCAGAGAAATCACGATTCTGTGCACCTGACCGAGTCCCAAGGAGACACGTCGGCGTTTGGCTCCAGTGATGACATTATGCCGTGCAGCGAAAATCCCGACGGGCAAATCGAACACGCAAGTAAAATGCGCGGTGCATATTTGGGACCAACTGAGAAAGTGGCCAGTTTTAGTAAAGTTAAGTTTGCGGAGTCCGAGTTAGAAAATAGTTTATCCATGGACGAGAATCAGCAGCAGCAGGTGGCTCAGAGGCTGGGCACCCCGTACTACGCAGAGCACAAGCAGGAGGCACGGGTAATCGAGCGTCACGAAGGACCAGAAGATCCGAGAGATCGTCGTAGCCATCACAAGAGAGAGGCCGCAAGCAACTCGAGGAATAAGCTGCCTGAGATTGTACGCAACGGAGAATCCCGCAGGGAGGAGGAGCATTTGCTCGTGGAAGAACACACGGCAGAGGAGAGCGATGGATATTATCTCAACGGAGTGAAGCAAGATCCCTTGCCAGGTGCTCCAAGACGGAAAGGGAATCGATCCAAACCGCCGAAGCATATGGCCGTGACAGATCAAGGAGGGCAGGACAAGTCAGTGGAATTCCCGTCCAGGACAGGCATCGAAGCAAGGGATGTCGAGAGCTCTAAACGGGTCGCACTTAAGCATCGTTCAAAAATACCCGTATTGATGACCGAGCATCGGGATCACAGTGAAGAAGAAGAATATGAATCCCTTCATTCTACAATGCAAGAAGAGTACAACAATATGCTGCTACGTGCAGCATCGCAGAAGCCACCAGGTGATGGTTTTGCAGAGCGTCCTAAGCAAATCCATTCCTTACACAAAAACAATGAGGTAGCTGCACAGTCATCAGTGCACGACAAAGGGCAGACAGGCGATCGTGACCAGGTTACAATTAGAGATAAGACGGCGAACCCGGCACCACCTCATTTTTCGGAACAAAGGAAGGACATCTTGGAGGCTAACAAACAGAATCTTGGGAGGAGGCCTCAGAAGCAGTCCTCGTATCTGCAGATGCACCGGAGACAGCGCGGAGACCCCGCAAAGCGCGTAAGCCTCTGAGCCGCGAGCTCCGTTGCATTTACGGTTGTTGTTCTCTTATTGGAATCCAGGCATCTGCCCGCAATGGAAGTCTCGTTGTTTTTAGTTCGGTGAATGGATGGCCTTAGCGTGGAAACCAAAACCGTCATATGCCGAGTACTGTAACTTCCAGTGCTAAGATATAGAGTACAAGTACTTACATATATAACACGTCAGCTTTTGTGACAAATATTCATAATAAAGGTTTTTTGGGGAAGACCACGTAAATATAAATGTTGTGGGTTTAATCTCAACACACCGGTGTGCTGAAGTAACTAATTGGCACATTTTGTTTACGTGACAAACCTTACTAATTGGCCGTGTTGAGTGGTGGTGGGAAGAGGAGTACGTTTAAATACTCTTTGGTTTTCTTTTTGTTCTTTCGGTAAAGTCACGTAGAATGAGAATAACAGTCCTGTTTCTTCACCTGAGGACGGCTACTTGTGTTGTGGCCGAAACGTCGTGAGAATGTTATTGTTTTATTTTATTATTTTATTCTCATTCTACGTGACTTTACCGAAAGAACCAAAGAAGATGAATCCTTGCAGTCACGAAAGCTTTAAATCGAAATTTACTCTTTGGTTATAAAGTATTAAAGCTTTCGTGACTGCATAAAATTACTCATTGTTTTTTTCGGTAAAGTCACGTATGTAGAAATACAATAAGTCACGTATGTATTTCTACATACGTGACTTTACCGAAAAAACCAATGAGTAGTTACTCTTTGGTTCTTTAAATATATACATTTGACCCTGACGCCTGCTGTATACAGGAGGTCGTGGGTTCAATCGCGACCCTGACGCCTGCTGTATACAGGAGGTCGTGGGTTCAATCCCGACCCTGACGCCTGCTGTATACAGGAGGCGTGGGTTCAATCCCGACCCTGACGCCTGCTGTATATTTGGAGTTTGTGTGTCTCTCACCCCGTTGTCACATGTATTTTTATCCGGGTCCTCTGGGTTTTCCCTCTACATTTTGAATCAACATGCGTTTAGAGAATTTGGACGCTATACATTTTCATGTGATAAGCCACTTTGTTTGGATATCCTTTGTGGGCCTTACCTGGTAAAATAAAAGTAGTTTTCAGTAGTTTAGTTTTCACGTTCTAATTTTTATTTGAAATTGGACCAAACAGAAACTTCTGTGGAAAAGGCAGGAGGAGCAAAGCGCCACCACCACCACGGCGCTTCGTAGCATCCACAGCGATGCCCAGGAGGAGGCCGAGTTCCCATCTCCCGACGCCTTCCCCTTGCACAGGTGAGGGGGCAGTCTCCGTGAGGGCACAGAGCGTGGATGCCGTGCGGCTCCTACGGCTGCGCTTGTTTGTTTATACATATTTCATTATTGTAAATTTCCACATGATAAGCCACTTCGTTGAGCTATCATTTATGGCCCAGGTTGCTTCTGAAAAATAAGTTAACAGCTCAGTGGGCCTTACCTGGTAAGATAAAAAAAAAATTGTTTAGTTTAATTTGCATACATTTTTGAAGTGATTTGTTTACCTTCGCCAAATTGTACCCCATGAAATTGAGAATCCATTGGCATCTCTTATTTGTTTAAATGAATGAATAATGAATGTGAGTGGATTATTTAAATATTTTGGCTGCGAAACATTTCCACAGGATAAGCAACTTCGTTGAGCTATCATTCGTGGCCAGGTCGCTTCTGAAAAAGAAGCTAATAGCTCAGTGAGCGTAACCTGGTAAATAACCAAAATAGTTTAGTTTCATTTTTGAGTGATTTGTTTACCTTTCCTATACCCTAGGCTCCTATCGTGTTTTTGTATTGTTTGTTGTTGTAACGTTCTAACCTGCCCCTACTGGACATCTGTGAAAAATAGCTTTATAGCTCTTCGGATTGCTCCAGTATAAATAAATATTATGATTCTGATAGCCACGCCAAGTCCGAGAACAATTTTTCAGAACGATCCTGCATTGTGTTTTTCTTGGAAGATATTATCAGCCACCAATTAATGATGAGTTGTATTAATTATACATGTGAGGAAACCGGAGCACCCAGAAAAAAACCCACGCCTTGCGCGAGGGGGCAACATTCTATCCTGGCACAGATGTAAACAGATGGCGATTAATCCGGATGCTGTACCGCCTTCTTCTGGCGAGCCACGGCATGGCACCTCCTTGACGCGCACGGGAAGGGAGTTTCACAACGTCTATGTGTGTGGTGATCCACCAACCCTCACTGCTGCTTCCACACAGCGCTGGATCACAGCCGCCATGTGCAGCAGCATAGCCACCACTGATGCCCCCTGCCCTGAGTGACAAGGCAGGAGAAATTCAAAACAAGGCGTGGACCAAATCAGTTTCAATGAAAATGCATAAATTATCAGAGTATGTTTTTTGTTTGCATTCTGACCACAAGTATTGTGGTTAAAGCAGACATGATTTCTTGTTAAAGGTTTCAGTTTGGTGTTTTAACGTCTTAACACCTGTTTTGTTGCCAGGAAAAAGGGGAAAATTATTCTCAAGGCGGCTAAAGTCGTGCCTTGTATATACAGTTTGTTGAACTTCTTTCACACCGTATGTAGCCAACCGTGCTAATCAGAGGTGCAGGGGAAGGGCAACAAACTAAACACAAAAAGCAGTTCTAAAGAAATTCGTTTTCAATCGAGATTTCTTGGGTGACATTAAAGCAATGTCCGCGTCCTACTGCGGGCATTTTAAAAATTAACCCCAGCTTAACAAGTGTTGCGTTACTTTTAATTTGTCAAAGCACCACATTTCTGTATTTGAAATGCTGTTATTTGAATACAATAATATTGTACATATCGTGTTCTGTTATAAATGTAGTGGGGAATTTCTCCAATCCAGATTAGTAAATTTTGTATTAAGTGCATTTTAATAATAATATCTGCAAATTCCATTTCCTCTTATCCGCGTGTTATTTTCGGCTAAAAACACCAATGAGAAAATGAATTTGCCAATCACCTCTTGTTATCGGTGAAACATCGGAAGAATTGGGCTGTGGATAACAGTACTGTTGATAAATTGCTTGAGGAATGGAGATAATATGGGATGTGGCTAGGAGAGCTGCAGGAGAGAGGATCTCCGCTGTACTTGTCGTCCAATAGAAGGTTATGAGTTCAAATCCCGGTTGGTGTTTGACTCAAATGATCATCTCTTCTAGGAGCACCTGTGGTTGTTGTATGTGGAAGATAACTTTGCCTTGCGATGTTGTTCTTACAAACAGGAAGCCGGAGAGTACGAACCAACATTACAACTTCTCCCAAGCGACTCTCTTTTCGCACGGCCACCCGAGCAACGCCGATGGAAGACACCAGTTTCCGGGACAGCTTCCTGCTCAGAGCCACTGCGCAGTGGCCACGCGTTCCTCGCCGGCCGACGAAATCCATGCCGGTATGAGCCCCGCGCTGCAGTATCGCCAGTGGGGCGACGCGAGCGCCGAACTTGGGCAAATCCCCATCGGTTTGCAGCACCGTCCTCTCTACAGGCTCATGCAAGGGGTGTTTCTGGACGATGCCGGTCACGCTTTTACCTACTCGCAAGTTCCTGGCTACGTACCTGGGCACCCCGTGTTCCCGTTCGTGGCGCACGACGAGACGCGGCCGTCGAACCCGTCGAGGGACGTTCAGCCTCGGGGAACGGCGTTAGACGCCGGAGGGGAACGGTGGACGCACGGCCCCGCAGGGGGCGCCTGGCCAGGTAGAGCAAGGATCCTGCATCCTGTGCCGTACGATGCCCTCCCCCGCTGGGACGCGCCCTGCCTGGCTGAGCAGCAGCAGCATGAGGATCCGGCTCTCCACGCGCGGTCGTCGCCGCTCGTAACGCGCTGCAACTCAGACGGCTGTTTGGACAGACTGCAGACACAGCTGAAAAACTATAAGGTAAGTGCGCCGTGTTACGATTGTATGGAAGTTCCAATTCATGGTTGATTTTTGGCGTAGGCCACGTAATGATCCTGCAAACTTTTGTCGTGAGACCCTCCACCGCCAAATATATAAAATTGTCACGTACACAAGCATTTAGTGCCCCGATTATTGCTTCAGCTCACGGCCAAATTTTGCAAATAGATACGATGTCTTGCTCGAAACTGCGTCAAGCAGAATAACCGTGTGACCTGATTGGACTTGTGTTTTTTATAAAACGTTTTGTTTTTCTACAACACTTACATTATCCAAAAAATATACACCTCGGCAACAAAACAGGTGTTAAGATGTTAAAACACCAAACTGAAACCTTTTACAAGGAATCATGTCTGCATTAACCACAATGCTTGTGGTCAGAATGCAAACAAAAGACATACTCTGATAATATATGCATTGCCCTTGAAACTAATTGGTCCACACCAGAGACAGCTTTCTTTTGAGCCTCGTCTCAAACGGTGTTAGACCAGAGGACGTGTTTTAACATCTTAACACCTGTTTTGTTGCCAAAAAAAGGGGAAAAACCTATTATCATATTTTGGTACTGGCAAAGGAGGTCCCATGAAATATATATCTCACTAATCCCATCTACAGTCTGTGTTCAATATATTCCATAGGTTGCTGCTCAATTCGTGTATTTTTATAACCAGTACTGAGGCAGGAAGTTTAAAAAGGGGTGGGGGGGGTAGTTAGGTAGGGGGGGGGGGTGGTTAAAGTATAAACTTTGTTACCAGGTAAGACGTACTGAGCTATAATGCTCTTTTTCAGAAGCGACCTGGCCACAAATGATAGCTCAACTAAGTGGTTTATCATGTGGAAATGAATAGCAGCTAAATACTCTTAAACGCACGTTTCTAAATGTGGAGGGGAAAACCGTAAGATGAGGAGAAAAATCCACTCGACCGCAGAGAGAGAGACATGCAAACTCCAAATTTACAGGTGTCAGGGGTGGGATCGAACCCAGACCTCCTGCATACCAGGCGAGGTAGTTAACATATCACCACTGCGGCAGTTAGGTATGGGGGGTGGTTAGGTATGGGGTGGGTGTTGAGTATGGGGGGTGGGGTGGTTGGGTATGGCTAGGGGATAGAGCCTTAAGCTGCGTGAGGAGGGCATCGGGCGAGGGGCTAATTGTCTCTGCGGTCCAGCCATCACACACTTCCAACGTGCCGGTCAAGCCACCAGACGCAATCTCTAATGTGGAGTTCCCACTGCAAGAGATTCTCAACGTCACTGGGAGACAGCGAGCTGTTTATTGAGTTTTTCAAGAGGATGCTATAGCAATGTAATGGGGTATAAAGACTATCAGCTTGTATTATATCAAGATGTTCCTGTCAGGAATGGAATAAAATGCTATGTCCATGACTCACACATCTGATATGTTTGCTTTCAGGAATATACGCTTCAGGATTATAAAAACCTCAAGCAAGACATTAAACTGGGAGGTCTTGGGCCAGATTGCACCTCTGTTAAAAAAAAGGTTTGTTTATCAAATAATTTATTTTGCACTTCCATATCACCCCCGTCCATCTAACTTTAGTATATAGTCTCTAGACCCACATCCAGCAAGCTGACCAAGCGGCCAAACAGCCTAATGTAGAACCACGGAGCTTGGGCAATAGTTGATAGCTCCGGTTCTGTGCGCATTACAATGTCCATGAAAGACGCTACTATATATAATGAAATATGTTCATTGCATGTACCTTCACAGTGATTGCGAAATGAATATCACTGTGTACACACTATTTTGGAGATGTAAAAGGGATTTGCATTGACTTCTGATAATTTCCACTGACTGTTCTAATCACTGAGACGATTGATATTTTCTCTGCTGATTTTTATGTCCTTACAATTATATTTCATCAGGTGAAGGTGGGCTGTCTGGGGGCTGTCGTGGGGTCCGACACAGGTGCCATGGTGGCACGATGTTAACTACCTCTCCTGGTATACAGGAGATTGTGGGTTCGATCCCGACCATGACAACTGCTGTAAATTTGGAGTTTGCGTGTTCTCCCCGTGGTCAAGTTGATTTTTCTCCGGGTCCTCTGGTTTTTCCCTCCACATTTAGAATCAACATGCGTTTAGAGTAATTGGCTATCAATTTCCACGTGATAAGTCACTTCGTTGAGCTATCATTTGTCGCCAGGTCGCTTCTAAAAAAAACGCTATACAGCTTAGTGGGCTTTACCTGGTAAAATAAAAAAAAGTTAATATATGCTCGGATAAATATAGTGAGTTAAACTGAGTCGCAGACGTACTCTTGGAGGCAACACATTTATTTAACACCAACACACGGGCTAACTGCCCCTTAACAGAATAACAACCTATGGTGGTGCACCACCAGGCTAACTACACTAATAACAACGTAACTAGCTACAACGGACCAGGACCAACAGCTCGGGTCCAGGTCCACGTGTGTGAGACTTGTAGAACGTAGGACGTAGACGAAGGTTTCTTCAGGATAAACAGCGCCTGTCCCTCTGGGGGACCCAGCTTATATTCTCTGCGGCGTGGCTGGCTCCGCCCTTGGCCACGACCACCTTACAGAATCCTCGAACAGGATCTGGACCCCGACACGTGACCACCCCGAGCCCCCACTTGGGGCGCCTTTGTAGACTTAACCGGTCACATGTCCTCTCGGGTCAACTAGAGTGCCATGGCCTAAAGTAACCCCATTTCCATGGCCGGCATTCCCACACCCTATCCTGTAGGGGCCGGCACTGCACGCCAAGCGTGGCGCCATCCAGCGCTATCGATCAGCGCTCACCGAGCCCCTCTAGGGCCAGTACTGCACCCACATCCTAGTGGTGTCCGCATTGTCAATACACCGCACGCTATGCCTCTCTAGGGCCGGCATCACTACAAATACAAGGCTTGATAGTTAAAAAATATATCACAATGTACATTGTTATCCAGGAAATCCTTCAGGGGCCACATGCCCAGCCACGTCTCGGCTGTGGCTTGGCCGTGAACTCAGCTCGGTAATAATCGGCGTGTGGTTAGACAGTCATCCGCGTCACTATTTATTTGGCTGTGTCAGATGGTGGAGGGTTTTGTGACAGAAATTTGACTGGATCGTCGCGCGGCCTAACCCTGAAAAAAATTTGGAATGGGAATATCGGCTGTGAAACCACCTCTACGTGTTACTTTACAATCGCTCAATTTGGAGCAGCGACTTTAGGTATGTACGTACAAATCCATGAGCAAGCCTCACGTGCACTACACACACAACCAATGCATTTATTGTGTATTTTGTTGCAGTTGGAGAAAATCAGGAAGCAACAGAATTATGCAAAACTTGTGCAGGAGCAGAACCGCTCGCTGCTTGGGAGGCGAGGAGTGAGGGCCCCAGTGCACCCCACCTCGGCGCCGGAGGGCGAAAGCAAGTCCCGCAGAGAGCAGGTGATGCCACGTCCTCCACTCTCGCGGCACACGCCGCTAGGGGCGCCGCGGTGGCGAGATGTTAGCTACCTCGCCTGGTATGCAGGTCGTGGTTTCGATCCCAACCCTAACACCTGTATATTGAGTTTGTATGTTCTCTCTTCTGTCGAGTGGATTTTTCTGTGGGTCCTCCGGTTTTTCCCTCCACATTTAGAATCAACATGCGTTTAGAGTGTTTGCTGCTATAAATGTCCATGTTATAAGCCACTTCGTTGAGCTATCATTTGTGATCGCCAGGTCACTTCTGGAAAAGAGCTACGTAGCTCAGTGGGCCTTACCTGGGCAAATAAAAAAGGCATACTTTTTTATGAAGCCATGCTTCACCGTGCGATGCATGTGGCGACACCCGATTCCCCGTGCGTTGTGTCGCAGGCGCTGGAGTACGCGCGCAACGTGCCCCGGCCCCGCTACACGGAGGCACGCAGGGAGCCATCTGCTCCCCACGGGGAGCGGCGCGACTCCCCTGTCAGTTTGACGGCACTCGACCCCATGCAGGCGCTGTTGGACGACCTGAGACAACGCCACGAGCAGGACAAGCAAGCCGTTGCGGCCTTCAGACTGCACGTGCCCTGACGACGCCCTGATACCTGGATGGGCGCCCCTCCTCACGCACTGCCATGTGGTCTAAATCGTCGTAATTCGTGGTGGTGGTGGTGGCGACACTCGTGCCTCACAGCAACAAGGGTTCAAGAGCCGCAATGCGTGTGAATACGAGGCGGTCCTTAATAAATAGCGTGACGAAGCAGTCCTTAAAGAGTCGCACGTGGCTCCAGAGCCACAGGTTGCCGAAACCCTGGCCTGGGAGCTGCCAAACGACAAAGCCGACCGAGATCAATCTGTGTGGTGTTCTCTGTTTATTGCTGTACATCCGTCATCTCGGGGCAGCAGGGTGGTGGCACCGTGACACTCGTGCCTCAGCAAAAATGGGCCTGAATTCAATTCCTGACTCTGGCGCCTGTCTGCGTGGAGTTTTCTTGTTTTGAACGTTGTGCATGGGTTACTTCCCAGAGCTAAAACAATATCGCAATGCAAAGAAATGCCTTGTAAATTACTCAGTTGGGATTACAAGCAGCTATATCGCCCTCTGCTACAAAAATGTTGGTCTGACCCTCCTGAAAGTCTCAAGACCCAGCAAGGCTCTAGTGGATAAACGAATTCAACGAAAGCCACTACCACTTCTTACAATCCTCTACAAATCCATCCAGCACCTGCAAATCAAAAGATTTCATCGCTAAATCTCCTCCGTGGACTTCCTCTCGGACGCATTCCATTCCTTGACTGCTACTCTGGTATTCTTTACTAATGTCCATCGTCCCTTCAAGCGACATTCCCAGCCTAAGCCCTCTCACTTTTCTTAGCAGTTTCGATGGTACCACTAACCTGTGTATGTTCTCGAATCCGTGTGTTCTTGTCTCTATCATTTCAAGCGTGCATCTCTCCACGCTTCTTTCCACCCTGTTCAGTTTACTTTTGGTCGAGGTCACACATTATTCAATATTACGCCTACACTTCCACGCCTGAATGTTCAAAATGTTCAACCTAGGTTTACTCTTAGATAATCTAAAAGTAACGTTCTTGCATTACACACTTACTCAAGTGCGTATTTTTAACATTACACATTTTTAAACGTGTTATATTCTTACACGTAAGAATGTGGAGTACGTGGAGTGAAAAGGCACATGAGGATTGCACGACCGAAGGGCCACAGCTGTGAGGTTGAGCCGGAGGGGGGCGATGCGGTGATCAAAGCAGGACCGGTCCCTCACCCCCCAACACCCCTTTCCCCATCCCAGTCTCCTTCGTTCCATTCCGAGTCTATTAGGCTTAGGGCACAAGTGACTTAAATTATCCACTTCAGGTTTTTTTTTACTTTTGAACAGTTTCCTAAATTTTCATTTATAAACAAGTTACTAAATACTGTGCTTTTAAAACATCCAGGTGGCTCATCGTCCCGCTGCATACAGACCGCAGCCACCGCTGTTGATTGTACAGTTGGTGTCATGGTGCCCCAACAAATCGATAGCCGCATGAGGGTGGACACGCATGGGGAGTGAACACAAAACTGCCGAGTCGAGGCAAGACCTTCAGACATTTCGAGAGTGGAGAGTGACACTGCCAGTGTAAATATGAAATGGAGTTTCCATTTCCCCATTGTTGTAGAACGCGTGGGGTTTGTGGAGGCTTGGAAACGTTGCAGGGTTGACGCTGAGAGCCGTTGCTGCAAAACGTCCAGGCCTGATGACCGATGTCCAAGGGTCTAAAATCACCACGAGAAGGCGTTCGCATTGACTCAACTGTGGGTTTATGTAAATGCAGTAGAACACAATTTATAATAATTTCTAATTTTATTCTCAGTGACGTATAAGTAAGTGGTCACAGGAATCATCACTAGATCTGCGAGGTCAGTACTTGCAGGCCACAGGATTTTGTGTGAATTTCAGTATATATCCGTGATGGCAATTCCCAGAGCAATACCGGTAAGTTTGGTTTTAGCCAATAAATGATGCGATGGCCCAGCATTGGTTGTGACAGATTTCAATGATTGTGGGATGGACAAGCATTCGGGTTACACCGACGATGACAATCATCAAACTGAACACGTCGAGGGAGTGAGAAGGGATGACTCTCCATGACATCACAGCGATATGCTCCACTACTCCTGATGCGGTTACTTGGCTTGACCACCTGAATGCGTAATTGTAGTTGTTGCTCTGCATCTACATCAGCAATACGAAAGAAGACTCTCTTGGTCTGCCCGCAATGTTAACAGGACGAGAAACTCGGGGTCGACTTGAGTATGTTCATGAACTGAGCTCTGCTGCTCGCACTTGGGTCCCTGAGCACCTGGAATCGCGTTGTGAAATGTGCAGGCGACATCAGATTGAGACCTTTGTGAGAACCTTCCTCATACACACGGGAGCCGTCTGCACTGAGCGTGTTCTATTGAAACATCTGTAGTATGATAAGGGTATTGTAGTTGTGTGACAAGTGAATTAGAATGTGGCTGTCGACAGAACACCATCAGAATGTGAATGATCACACAAAAACACTTGAGGCCCATATTCTCTGTCTCAGCTCAGCAAGATCCTAGATCAGGATTCCCATGAGCCGAGCCTGAGCCAAGCCATGGCTGAGCCGCTCATTGCAAAATTGAAAGCAACTGAGTGGCTCAAGCCTAAGCCGAGCCACGTGAGGCTGTTAAAGACTCGTTTCTGCACAAAGTTGAAGGTGACAGGTTAAGGAATTTAAGAAATATGGAAAAGAGCAGGGGTCGCCGATACTGCTGTGAGAGCAAAGGGAATAACAGTGGAAATGGGCAGGACACATCATGAGAACTGACGAGTGATGACAGAAACGAAACTCGGGAATGGAGATGGAGAGAATGGAGAAGCGGAAGAAGAGAGCGGGACAGATGGCCGAGTGTCCACGAGTTCACTAGGAAGCGCCCGCACGCATGTGTTAAGGCCGGTGCCCGTAGCAAGGGCAGTCGCAATCGTCATCACGTTGCGAATGCACACAAGTGGAATGTGATTCGGTCTCACGGTGTTGAGCGAAGCCCTGGCCTAACAGGACGCCTGCTTTGCTGGGAGCGCCGTTCTCTTGGCAAGCTTGGGCTACGATCGTGGCGGCAGAGTTTGAGGGCTACACTGTGCCGATGACTCCTCGTGAGAATGAAGCGGCGCTAAATATGAGTAAGGGTCGGTGAGTGATTGCAAGCGAGTAGCGGCTGATGTCCAGCGTGGAGGGGTGAGAGTGAACAATCCGTTGAAGAGGGGGAGGCGGAGGAGTGGGGCTCATCACACCAAGTGCCGAGACAGCTTGAGCGGGAAGTTCTCTGTGATGAGGTGGTCATCTTGCAGGATGATGACGATGTTCACTTCAAACTCTGTGAACAGACGTACAGACAAAGATAAAGATGCCCCGTATAGCCTTAGAAGACTGTAGGAGCAAGTGCTGTTAGCGAGCACCTATGAAAGCCAGCAAGCCACACGAGGGGGAGTGGCCAGAACCACGCCTGGCCGCCTTTGTCTTCCAAGTAGCGATGTTTACACACCGCAGAAGGTACTCATTTGAGGCTGAGTCGACCTAGGGGAGGCCCAGGACTGGTTCAGATAATCGTCACTGGTGTTGGCCGTGAGCGGGAATCGAACCCAGGTCGCCGGGTTCGCAACACTAGTGCTCCCCATAGGCGTACAGAGGCACACACACGTAGCTATCTGAAGCATCAAATTACCCACGAGTGGGTTATTGCATCGCAGGACCATGAGAGACGGCAGGGGCTTGAGGCCTTCATCCAGCAGTGGATTAACCATGGCTAATGATGCTTAAAGTATAGAAAGTAAAACCATGCGATTTTAGTCAAAAGTACCCCCCCCGCAAATGTTGACATTTTGTTCATGCAATTTATTCACAAGATTCTGATCATTTGGCCAAATGGGCTTCCACCAGCTGAGCACAGGTTCAAAGCATCAAGCAGCCAGCAATAAAGAGCACTTTCAGAGTTCTAATAGATAAAAGTTAATATTCTTTGGGTCTTTCGGTAAAGCCACGTAGATAGAAACAATAATCAAAATAATAACAATATCATGACGTTTTGATCGCAACACAAGCAATCGTCTTCAGGTGAAAAAAGAGGGGGAAATCTACCGAGGCAGGCTGTTTATAAAGGTTTAGAGATGGGCGGGGCAGCTAATGTTAATGTAGGAGAGGTCTCCGTAACCTGCAGTAGGTCTACACCAAAGAGCTGTTTACAAATGGTTTAGAGATGGGCGGGGCAGCTTATGCCAATGTGGGGGAGGTACTACGGAGCTGTGGGGGGTGGCCATTGTATTGTGAGAGATTAGCATGTCAATGTAAGACAGCGCAGTGGCCACATGGAGGTAGAAAAGAATGGTAAGCCGCCATTTACTAACACAAGCCGCCATTTACTAACGGTGGCTGTGTTAGTGAATGTGTAAGGGATCTGCGAGCCACCCTCAAGCACACGCACCACGCAGACATGAAATCTCCGCACTCAGTATAACACACACCAATCACACGCACGGAAATACACTAGACGGGGGTCAAGGGTTAAAGGGCACTGAAGTCACCCGGACCAGGCGTGGGTTGAAGAATAAACCAGTGCGTAAACCAGTCTCCAACTCCTCTTCAAATGTAACTCAGAGAGTCGAAAATAACTGCTAGGTAGGATAGGAACATCACAGCCAGTTATGACCTAAACTGGTTAATCATGTCCTTCCAATGATTGCTCAGTTTGTACCCATCTTCTTGGTTGCAATTGTGTCTGTGTTTATATATCTGGATGGCTTAATGAACGAATCTTTGTTGATAGCCAGTGGGTTTGCAGAGTACCTTCATCTTGGCAAAATCTATTTCGTGTGTGCCCACAGCGTTAAAATAATGATCAGCCACGGCTGAGGAATTGGCCCTACCATGTTTCAGATCTACATTATGTTCATGGACCCGGTCCGAGACATGTCGTTTAGTTTCCCCAATGCAACTGCTGCCGCAGACACAGCTTAGTTTGTAGATACCGGGGTATTGCATGTTGGGGATCGCATACTTCACTAAAGGGATCAAATCACGAATTGTATGTACTGTGTTGAATCGTACCTGGATCTTGTGTTTGCTCATGATTTTGGAAATCTTTTTGGTGACCCCTGCTATGTATGGCAAGGTGATGGTTTTGATTGGGTCCTCAGATGGTTCTCTCCCCACGGTTGGGTTGATAGCTTTACGGATTGTGTAGTCCGAATATCCATTCCTCTTGAGGACTTTGTGTACATGCTCCAGTTCACTGACTAGGTGGTGAACAACGAGCTCTGTGGTATAGAGTTTTGATGAGGGAATTCTTCTGGGATGGATGGTGGTGGGAGTCAGGTTTTAGGTAGGCATCCGTATGGGTGGCTTTCCTGTAGACAGTGTCCCATTGAGCCATCAGGTCTCTTTTCAATTAAAACATCCAAGGATGGTAACTTGCCATCCTTTTCCACCTCCTTGGTGAATTTGATAGCTGGGTGTATGGAATTGAAACGGTTAAAGAACTGGTCCAGAGCTGGTAGGCCATGTGGCCAGATGACGAACGTATCATCAACGTATCTATTCCACAAGGAAGGACGTAGGGTGGATGCCTGGATGACATCTGTCTCAAATTTATCCATGAAAACATTGGCTACAACTGGAGATAAGGGAGAACCCATAGGGGTACCTTCAACTTGTTTGTAGAATGTTCCATTCCAGGTGAAGTAAGTGTTGGTGAGGCAGTGTCTCACCAGGGCTGGTACATCAGCATTCAATCCTTGTTGGACCAAATCTTCAATGATTGCAATGGTATCAGGTACAGGTACCTTGGTGAACAGGGAGACTACATCGAAACTGACAAGTAAATCATCTGGAGACATTGAGATGTCCTTGATTAGAGAAACCAAGTGAGCTGAATTTCGATGTAAAGCTTTCGCGACTGCAGGGATTCATCTTCTGGGTTCTTTAGGTAAAGTCATGTAGAATCGAGATAAAATAATATAAATATTTTAAATATTTTTATAAAATAATATTTTATAAAATAATACCAATATTATTTTGATTATTTTATCTCCATTCTACGTGACTTTACCAAAAGAACCCAGAAGACAAGTGAGCTGAGTTAAGTACAGCTGAGGTGGACTTGCCCGTGAAAGGAAGCAGGGTCTCAGACAGAAATGGGGCCAGTTTGTGGGTGGGTGGGTTAATGGTGGAGGCGATAGGACGGAGCAGGATACCTTCTTTGTGGATCTTTGGAAGGCCATAAAATCTGGGTGGTCTAGCGGCCGAAGGTTTTAGAGAGCGCTGCTTGGTCGAATCAATAAAATAATAAAAATATAAAACAATAAAATTATCACGATGTTTCGACTCCAACACAAGCAATCATCATCAGGTGTGAAAACCACAAAAATAATGAAAAAAGTGGCGGTTATTTTTAACAAGAAAATTTTAAAAAAGTGGCGGTTATTTTTTACGTTAAAAATAACCGCCACTTTTTTCAAATTTTCTCATTGTGGTTTTCACACCTGATGATGATTGCTTGTGTTGCAGTCAAAACGTCGTGAGAATTTTGTCTTATATTTTTATTATTTTATTGTTTCCCTTCTACGTGACTTTACCGAAAGAACCAAGAATATGAATCCCTGCAGTCACGAAAGCTTTAAATCAAATTTCAATAAAAGAAGTCGAATTAGTGATGATATTGTGGGTTTTTGTAGCTAGGCGGTTGGTGGGATCTCTGTTGATTTTGGTATAGCTGCCATCATTAAGAAGGTCCTGAATTTTGTTGTTGTTAGGAACTTTGGTAAACAAAGATACCACATCGAAACTGACAAGCAAATCACCTGGAAATAGTGATATGTCCTTAATGGAAGATATCAAGTGAGCTGAGTTAAGTACAGCTGAGGTGGTCTTACCAGTGAATGGTTGCAAGGTCTCAGACAGAAATCTTCCCCCTATTTTTTCACCTTAAGACAATTGCTTGTGTTGCGATCAAAACGTCGTGATATTGTTATTATTTTAATTATTTTTTCTATTTTCGTGGCTTTACCGAAAGACCCCAAAAATATGAATTCCTGCAGTCATGAAAGCTTTAAGTCAAGATATAACAGTTAATGTGTATATTAAATTGAGCAAGGTTATTATAAGACCTTGGGGAAAAGAGACAATGATAGGGAATTCCAACATGGAGCAGTACGAGGGAATAAGCAGGAAGAGAAGCATGGTGACCTGCAGTTTGGCGGTGGTGGAACATGGTGTGCCACGGTGGCGAGGTGTTAACTACCTCGCCTGGTATACAGATCATGGGTTCGATCCTCACTCTGACACCTGTATATTTGGAGTTTGCATGTTCTCCCCTTGGTCGTGTTGATTTTTCTCCGGGTCCTCCGGTTTTTCCCTCCACATTTAGAATCAACATTACGCATTTAGAGTATTTGGCTGTGATAAATTTACACATTATAGGCCAATCTTCATTTGAAGCTTTCGTGACTGCAGGAATCCATACTCTTTGGTTCTTTCAGTAAAGTCACGAAGGTAGAAAAATTAAATAAAATTTAAAAAAATATATCACGACGTTTCGATCGCAACACAAGCGGTCGTCCTCCTGGCGGAAAATAATAATCCAGCAGTGGAACTGCTGAACCAGAAGAACACAATGAGAGAGCTGTTACAACAGCAAGAGGTTATATATGTTGGCCAAGGGCAAGCAGGCGGGGTCCGAGCTGGAAAGGAATTCCATCTCCGTACACAAGCATGTCAGTTGTGTTAATTTGGGAGATTAGGGAGAGAGAGATTAGCGAGAGAGATTAGCATGAAATTAGCTCCCGTCGCCGCATAAGAGTATCGTCTCCGCATATGCGCACAGCAGCAGTGTTAATGGGAGATTAGCACTATGTTGATGGGAGAGATTAGGCAGATAGATTAGGGAGATTAGCAAGTTAATGTCATGTCTATGTGTAACACATTTCACTGTCTCTGATTTGCTTGTCAGTTTCAATGTAGTCTCTATGTTCACCAAGGTACCTGTACCTGACACCATAGCAATCATTGAAGACTTGGTTTAACAGGGACTGAATCCTGATGTACCAACTTTGGCCTTACCAACACTAACTTCATCTGGAATGGTACATTCTAAAAACAAAATGAAGGTACCCCTATGGGTTCTTCCTCATCACCAGTGGTAGCGAATGTTTTCATGGAGAAATTTGAAACAGATGCCATCATCCACCCTACGTCCTTCCCTGTGGAAAAGATACGTAGATAACACTTTCGTCATCTGGCCACATGACCAACCAGCACTGAACCAATTTTTCAACCACATCAATTCCATACACCCATCCATCAAATTCACCATGGAAGTGGAAA